CATATTAGTTTAGATGTATGATTACTGTTGATGCTATAATTCCTCGTCATCGCGGAATTTTCGAAGTTTATCTTGACTATCTTACTTACATGGGTTGGCATAACTTACTGCGAAAATTTCAGTAAAATCTATTTAGCGGTTTTAGTGTCAACAACCAAAAGAGTTTCCATTTTCTACATTTAGATTAATTAAATGCAGTTAGGAGTACATTTTTAAATATCCACGCCAATTTTTATAGGGATGATGCGTATTTGCTACCAAGTTACTCAAATAAATTTTGAAGTGGGAATCTGTAAACCTTCTTAAGATATAAGCTTAGAAAATTAATATTAGTTCAGATGTATAACTACTTTCGATGCGATAACTCCACATTCACGCGAAATTTTCGAAGTTTATATAGCCTATATTATTTCCCTCGGATGGTATGATGTGCGGAAAAAATCTAAGTGAAATCTGTTCAACGGCTTTTGAGTCTAGAAACAAAACATTTTGTATTTCCTACATGTAGATTACTTAAGTGCAACGAAGAGTGCATTTCCACCGATATTATCTCGCTCATATTTTTATGAATAATGTGAATTCACACCTAAGATATGCAGATAAATTTTGAAGGCGTTATCTGTAACCGTTTTTAAGATAAACGTATATTACATGTTCAGAAAATTTGATTTATGTTTACTATTGATGTTATAACTCCGCATCCAAGCGGAATTTTTTAAAGTTTATATAGCCTATGTTACTTTCAGGGCATGCCCCGACATATAGTGTAAATATCATTAAGATCTGTTCAGCGGTTTTGGGGCCTATCGGTAACATACAAACAAACAAACAAATTTTTTCTATTTTATATATGTATGAATATAGATAGATGAATTGCTGTCTCGCTAAAACTCGAAAACGGATGAACGGATTTTTCTTATCTTAGTCTTGAAATGTTCGTGGAGCTTCAGGGTTCAAAAAATTTGAAAATCGCGAAAAATTTGCAAAAAAAATTATGAAGCATATTTGCATTTCCACGAATTTATTATCGAGCTATTTTGGTTGCACACGTCATAGATGTTATTTTGAGACATTTTGGGCAAAAATTGGCCGTGTATCATTCCTTTAAGTCTACATTTGAAAAATTTTCCAAAAATTTTTATTATTTTTTTTTTATTTTTTAATTGGATTGACATTGTATTTAAACTATTTTATGTGGGAATACCTAATAAATTTAAAACTATAATAATAATAGTGAAAATAATAATAATAGTTCTATAGGAACATGTTGTTCCTTAAAGTACCAAATCAAGTGGTACCATATTATGGTGGTTATATGCCTAATCATTTGTCAATATCTTTGAACTTATAAAAAGAATACATCACATATATCCGACACAAAAAATTTGTATCACAGAAAAAAACTAATATACCAGATATTTTCTTTGCAAAAATCTATCATTAAGCTTAACAGGAAATAGAATAAAAAACAGTAATATTTAAAAACAGCCAAGGCAAAATACCTTATGTGAATGTTATACTAAAATCTCCATCGAAAACATTTATTATAACAAAGAGTCTCATGATGTTACCTATTCAGGTTGAACATGTGACTATAAAATTGCAAATTGTAAAAATGGGGTTAAGAACTTAAACATACCGAAAAATTGAACGGGAAATATTTATGGCTTTTTTTTTAACGTTAAGTTATAGTACAAAATTTCTGGGATGATGTTATTTATTCACTGGAATCATTTATGCCTAATTATAGCCAACTCTTTGAGAAAATTCGGTCTTTATTTAAAATACCGAAAATGGGGGCGGGCCAGTATGTAGGAGCTATATCAAAACTTTGACCTAAATAGAGATTTTTTTGCAAAATATACCGGAATGTCATATTACAGCTAATACAAAGATTTGACACCACTTGAGTAATGGTATGGGGGATACCATTTTATGGGTGTTACCCGGAAACTTGCACCAATATTGATAATTGTTGGTAATGATATTTTATACTCAATGATGATCTAAAATATAAAATTACAACCAATTTGCTTGAAAGTGTGACGAAAATCCCCAAAATACCGAATATTGTATGTACAGTTATATAGGGGCTAGCCCACAAAGGTGGACCAATATTGATAACTTTTAGTAGGATTTATGCTACCAAATAAAACAACCAAACAATGAACTACAGCTAATTAGGTTGAAAAACATGTCCAAATCCCCAAAGGATCGAGGCTCAATGTTTACTCAATGATGATCCAAAATATAAAATTAAGCCAAATTCCGAATATTAAGGGATGGCGTTATTAGGGTGATTCCCGGACACATGGACCTATATTCATAGTTTTAAGTAGAGATATTTTCTGCTCAGTAAGTATCCCTTATACTAAATTAGAAGCAATTCTGTTGATGATCGTGCCAAAGATCTTCAAAATACCGAATATTGAGAATGTGGGCGGTACCCCGAAACATGAATATTTTTTGCGCCTTTAAATTTATTAAAAATAATTTTTTTCCACTAATTTGAATATTAATAAATTTATATCTTTAGAATGCAAACATAAAAAAAATATTATAAAGATCTGTACACTCTACCTTATGGTGGGGGGTTTAAAAACAAATCTAAAATTCCGGGAATTATAAATCAACAATACTGCTAGGCAGGACAACGTTTGCCGGGCCTGCTAGTATATAAATATATATAGAAGCTATATCTAATTCTGGACCGACTCCCAGTATACTTAACACACATCATTCTAGACGTAATTCATTACGCTATGCCAAATTTCGTGCAAATCTACAGATATATATTGACTTTGGTGCACAATTTACACTAAATCGGTGGAAAATATATATGGGAACTATATCTAAATCTGAACCGATTTTCAGGAAATTTAACACACATCATTCTATACTTTATTCAATATACTATGTCATATTTCGTGCAAATCGAAAGATATATAGGGACATTGGTAAACCATTTACCATAAATCGGACGAAAATATATATGAGAACTATATCTAAATCTTAACCGATTTTCACGAAACTTGACACACATCACTCCAGACTTAATCCAGTACGCTATGCCAAATATCTTGCAAATCGAAAGATATATAGGGACTTTGGTACACCATTTACCTTAAATCGGACGAAAATATATATAGGAGCTAAATCTGATTCGATTTTACCCAATTTCAATAGGATTCGTCCTTTGACCAAATTAGTGACCAGTGCCAAATTTCATCTAATTTGGATCATAAATGCGACCTGTACTTTGTTTACAATTTAACACGGACAGACAGACAAACGGCCAAAGTGATTCTATGCATATTCGCAAAAGGAACCATGTGTCTATCTCGTTTCCATTTGCCTGTTACAAATATATACACAAAGCCATAAAACTTTGTACCACAGTGTGGTGAAGGGTATAATTATGACATATCATTCTAGACTCGATTGCGACAAGACTTAACACACCTCATCTAGGCTCAAGGGAAAACTTTGAGATTGTGGTGCACTTTTTACGGGTAGTCGGACGAAACTATACATGGGAGCTACATCTACATCAATACCAACTTCAAAACCAGTGAGCGGTTAGTCGGACGCGGCTGGCCATATCATACCCTACACAACTACCACGGAACACCTACATTCTGCTGATCAATATTCCGTGCTTGGACAATATTTCGCGATACTTGCTTCCTCTTGATTGATTATTGGTCAACAGCTCCTCTTTCTAACCATGGCATATTTTCCAAACCTGGTTTTTCCTAGGTGAATATTTACGCCATAAAATAAAAATTTAGTCACTTTAGGTTTTGGTTGATTTAAACTCAGAATATTGAGCGATCATCTAAACAGCCCTGTAAAATATGTGATTTTCTGTGTATAATTATGACCTCAAGAGCGACCAGAAAATCTGACAAAAAATAATGTTTTCGATTCGTTGCAACTCCTAAATATCATCTCAACATCACCGAAAATTATAGGCTTCGTCCTTGACCATTCATGTAAAATTTCATAGCGATCAGCGCGACATTTCTGCCCTCTAGTGGGGTAATATTAATACTAAACAATATCATAGCACATAGACCACTTCAAATATTTACATATAACTCCCACATCCGAGTACATACTACAATATAATTGGTATCAATTTAAAGGTCAGGAGTAAATATATTCGATATACAGAATACAAATTTTGTAACTTTTCCCACAAAAGTCTGAGTCCATTTGACCCGCTAAATATTGACCAATGTAAAATTTTTGTGTAAAATTTTGTGGTGTCCGGGTTATATTTGTGGCATTACCTAAATATTTCTTTCCCTAAATATTAACGGATCATTACTAGAATCGGTAGGGGTCTTCTTTGGCCAGAACCCATTCTGCATGCAAATTTCGTGACGATTGGTACATAACTGTGGTCTGTATTGTGTTTACAAATTACAATAGACAGGGCACATATGTCTAGATCGACTCAGGTCCATAACTGTGATCTGTATTGTGTTTACAAATTACAATAGACTTATGTCTAAATCGACTCAGCTAGTCGAGACATGATGATGGATATATTTAAAGCTGGGTATAGAACCAATATTTCCCGGCGTTACAAACTCTTGGGGCTGCACAAAGCTATAAACCCTAGCAACATAAATGTGTAGGGTATTAAAACTTAGTACACGTTATGGTATACTCAACTCGATACGCTATATAAAATATTATCTCAATCTAACAAATTTTTGGAGTTTGATGCACAATTTAAATGAAATCGGTCGAAATAATCCATAGGACCTATATCTAAATCAGAAACGATTTTTATCAATTTAAATAGTATTCGCCTTTGGGCCAAATTAATGAGCTGTGCTGTGTAATATGAGTTAATGTCCAAATATTGATCTACATTGAACATTTTCTGAAAAAATATTTATCACCTTAAAAATACTGAAATAAATTGCTGGATCTTTATATGCGTGCCATGTTCAAACATGGATTAAAAATTAAAAATATTTACTCACCCATAAATCCTAATGGTCCAAATGGTAACAATGGAAATTTTCCCTGATTGCCAAGATTTTGTATTTCTTCACGTGCGGCAGCCATTAGCCAAATATTCGGTGGCATACCCATCAAATGCGGCAAATGGTCTAAAGCTCTTTGCGGTAGTTGAGAGTGGCCATTACGTGCTGTTAAATCCATGGCTTGAGAAATTCCAGATTCCATAGTATCATTACCGCCGCCACCACCAGCCTCACTCTTTTCATCGGCATCTTCAAATTGACGTTTATCCAATGGCGTTAGAGATGAGGTATTTTCCCGTGAATCGTCTGTACTCTCCATTGTCATGTATTCATCAAAATCACCCTGCGACGACTCCGAACGTTGACCAGAATATTCAGAGGTTGTGGAAAAATCAAAATTCTCAGAGTTTCCTAGGGATTTATTGGAATTTTGATCCTCCAATATGGCGGCCTCCATGTGGGCACGTATACGTTGATTGTGTTCAGCAATGGCTGCAGCCATTTCACTGGAAGCACCGGGAATTTGTGGTGCTCCGCCCGAACCATCGTCTATAGTGTGGATGCGTATGTGTTGTTGTAAAATAATACCATTCGAGAATTTCTGATGACACACCGGGCATTTGAATTGTGACCGCATTGGCGGCTTAATTTTGTGTATGCTCATGTGGGCCTTGAGATTTCCTTTGGTGGCAAAGGCACGACCACATATTTTACAACGAAATGGCCGTTCCCCGGTGTGTGTACGAATGTGCATTTGCAGGGAACTTCGACATGACATGACCTTCTGGCAAAATATACATTGATTGGGATCTGTGAGTTTATTTTCTATGTTATCTACCAGCTGTTGTAGCTTCGAGGTTTCCGAAGTGGTATCTATTTCGATTAGATCTTCCCATGATTTATCTACATAGGTTTCAACTTGTCCAAAATCACCGGTTAAATGTTCTAAACTGCTGTTGCGACTTAACGAAGAAGATCGTCGAAAATGTTTAGAGAGATGATGTTCATCCGCCACCGTGTCCATGCTGTTGCCGGGAAAACTTTTTCGAAATTCCTGTGGTGGTGTGGAACTATTGGAGTTGCGTTTTCTGTGAGAGCTGTTACGTTTTGGTGTGATTGATGCTAAGGGTCTTTCTGGTTTATCGTTTGTTAACTGCTGGGGTGGTAACTGGGGCAACGGCAGTGGTTGCTGTTGTTCGATTCCTGTGGGTTCCATTAAAGCTTGTGGTGTTTTCACTCTCACCAAAGGTTTAGGTTTTGGCTCTTCTTCCCGACTGGGCGGTTTACTAAGATCTTCAGGATGATCAATTGTGGATTTACAATTTGAGGATGTTAAATCTCGAGGTTGTTCCTTAGATTCCTCTTCGTGTTCTTCTTTGGTTTCTTCTGGAGTTTTTGTTCGTTCCCGTTCCGCTGTATCCTTAGGTTGTGTTTTCTCAAATGGTAGTGGCAAACGAATTGGCATTCCTAAGAGCCCAGGTGGTGGTGGCGGAGGAGGGGGATGTGGATGTGTATACGGCGCTGATGTTGGTGCTGGCGAATTCATTGCTGTGGGAGGCATTTCTAGAGGTGGTCCCACACCGGGTGGCATTAAAATGGGCGGGTATATTTGTGTATGCCTTTGATAATGCACCTTCAGATTTCCTTTTGTTGTGAATTTACTACCACATACATTACACACAAATGGCCTCTCCCCGGTGTGGGATCTCAAATGCAGGGCAGAAAATGAACCGAAAATCTTACCACAATATTTACAACGATGTTTGAAAATTTCTCCCCTGCCCTGGCCATCCTTCTGCTGATATTCATATTCATCTTGCATTTGAGAGGCATGTAAACTTTGCGAAGCAGAATCGAGAACCTCTTCCGTCCGACGCTGTAACATTTCCAAACAATTGGTTTCACTTGGCGGGGGTATGGGATCATGATCGGTAATAATAGTTGAAGCCAATGACGAGCTTATGCCGCTCAGTAATGGCTGATAATGGGGTGGTGATTGCACTTTGTCTATGTCCTTGGAATTTTTCATAAATTCTTCTTGATCAGTCTTGCTGTTCAGATTCTCCTCCTGTTTTGTGGGTTTTGTGGGCGACTTGTCACGTGGTAACAGATCTTCCGAGGAATTTCTTCTTGTTGTGGATTGGGTTAAATCTATTTGACAAGAATTGTCGTCATCATCATTATCACCGTCCTCGTTTTTGTTTGCCATGTCCTTAAGTCTTTGTTCATGGATTTCTTGGCGCCTCTGTTCCTCCTCTTCCGACCTCATTTCTTCCTCCTCATCTTCAATATCTTCCGCTTCATCTTCCCCCTCACGATCCCTACGTTTCAATTGACTTTGTAAATGTTGTATAAATTGTAATTGCATTAAATGTTGCCGCTGCAAGATGGCTGCCAAATCGGGAGTGGGAGTATCACCAAAATATTGGGTATTGGCCAATGCCGTGGCCGCAAATTGAGCCACCGCTACTTTGGTATGTTGTAGGGCTTCCAAGGCCACATGGCCCTTTGTGGCCAAACCATTTGGTAATACCGACAGATCCAAAGCTTCTTCTTTGAAGGATTTTCCCCTGTCAGTGGGTCCATTACTGGTCTCATCTTCCTCATCCACCACCTGTCGGATTTCATCATTATCACCTTTAGAATTTTGATTTATTGCCAATGGAGTACGAGGACTTTTGGGTTCTTCGTCACGTTCCTCTGATGGAGTTTCACTTTTATG